CTTTCATTGTAATTCATCTAGGTTCACCATGAATATGGTGAACTAAACTCTGTATGTTTGTTGGGGAATCAATGTAATCTTTTGAAGCTCTCATATATGGAATCTGTTTTTACATCTTTTAATTAAGATCTATGCTTTCTTTCATCATTAGTTAGGGTTTTTCCTCTTTGCGTAATGCTTGCATTGTTTAACTCATTCGATGCATGATTATTGGTTTTGTCGATACGGGCGCGTACGGGGAAGTCTAGATCCGGGGAATTTCTCCCAATATTATATTGGTTGTCGTTAAGCTCCTGTACTTATGAACTGATCATTAGGAATGCTAGGAATTGTATGAACTCGTGATTAGGGAGAAGCCTTCTTGAAAGGTACTTTAGAGAGTGGCATTAACAATGATGATTTGAATGTTGAATTCCTAAAATATATGAGAGTGGATAAGATGAAATTGACCCCCAACATATTCATACATAAATTTCATTGAAAGTGTTTATCTTTTGCTTTTTGCCATTGATCAAAACTTCATGCATACATATTTAATTTTCGTCTTTTGCATATAAAATCCAAATATTTCTTCTTTAAGTCTTAGCTAATCAAGAAACCACACAACTAAACTAGGCCGTGAGTCCTTTGGGAAGAACGATACTTGGTCTTACCAAGTTTATTACTTGAACGATTCGGTCATACTTGCCGATTGAAAAAGAAGTTTGTGACATCATATTTTGGTGTTCATAAATTTGTCCATCAGTTGGAAAACTGATTTATCTCACTATTACAAGGCCAGATCTATCCTTTGCAGTTAGAGTGGTTAGTCAGTTCATGCAGGCTCCATGTGTTGACCATTGGAATGCTCTGATTCGCATTCTAAGGTATGTAAAGAAGGATCTCGGGCAAGGATTGTTATATGAAGATAAAGGAAACATTCAGGTCTCTGGGTATTGTGATGCAGATTGGGCAGGTTCACCTATTGATAGACGATCTACTATAGGATATTGTGTTTTTTTGGGAGGAAACATTATTTCATGGAAAAGTAAGATACAAAATGTAGTAGCTAGATCAACTGCGGAAGCCTAGTATAGGGCAATGACATCACTAACATGTGAACTTATATGGTTTAACAATTCCTTCAAGAGGTTAAATTTTGTGACATCCATACTATGAAGATGTATTGTGACAATCAAGCTGCTCTCCACATTGCATCAAATCCAGTGTTTCACGAGAGGACTAAACATATAGAAATTGATTGTCATTTTGTTTGTGAAAAGTTGTTGACTAAAGAAATATGTACTGAGTTTATTGGGTCAAACGATCAACTCGCAGATGTATTGACCAAGTCATTAAGGGGTCCTTGGATTGAGTTTATTTGTTCCAAGCTTGGTTCATACAATTTGTATGCTCCAGCTTGAGAGGGAGTGTTAGGATATTTATCCTATTTTATCATCATTATATTGTGTTAAGGGTTACCCTATTTATCATGATTATATTGTGTCTAAGATTACCCTATTTATCATGATTATATTGTGTCTAGGGTTACCCTATTTATCATGTACTTTTGTATCAATTTATTCTTATAAATAGAAGATTGTGAGAGAGATCAATCAAGCCCTCTAGAATTATTTTACAGTTTAATTCTCAAGTCATATGAATAATGTTCATTGATTGTGGATGCAAAATAAACAAAACCTTGTGGCATATTTCTTGTTGATTTATGTATCTTTTTTTTGTATAATGATAATATTAATGGTGAGGCAATGTTCTAGAAGTTATACTATTTATTATATAAAAACACATATTGTAACATCCCAAAATATAGCATAGATACTATATATGAGTCATCACATGAAGGATAAGATAGAACAGTTAAAACTATTATATAAAGTTTAACTTACAGTTATCCAAAAATAACCATAAAATTTCAGCTTTATAAACAACTATTCTATTACAAAATTATTTACAATACTACTTCTAAAACTACTAAACAGCTAGATCCTCTCCATGAAGAGCGTGCTCCACGGAGATTGTATCTCCCTCTGCTCACACAGGATGATTATTGCAAAGGAAAAAATCACACATACAAAACACAAATCAAGCAGAAGGGTAAGCTAGTTTAAATAAAAGAGTAATCATATAATCATTATCTATACTTCATACAATCATACACATTCGTTCACATCACACCACCCATTATGCGTGACACTATACTGACTTTGACAGTCCGGACCTAGAATAAATACCGAGCTTTGACGGGTTGTGCACTTGTGGTGGCCTCTACTGCTTTGCAAAGCCATTGCCATGGGTTTCACCCTACCACACACACAAGGTTAGTCCGTTACCGCGCAATAGGCCTCCAAGTAGCGCCTACACTAGGACCTCCTACTACTCTCACCACATGAATCAATCCTCTCTATGTGAGAATAAAAGATCATTAGAGTGTTAGGATAACCCCCAATACTGAGCTCCCTGTATTTATCCTAAACATACAAGTATCTCACTAAGAGATTCCACTTTGATACTCACTTACACCGCATTGAAATCATACTTTCAAGAACAAACCACTCAAGAACAAAGAAGGAAAGAACAACATAAACCTAGACCAGTTGCTCAGTGCATACACTCGCTAAGCGACCTTTGATCCTCTTGCTCTGCGAATCCACAGATAGTGGCTCCAACCTCTAACCCACTCGCTCTGCGACCCAATTCGTTGAGCGAATTAAATACCAGTGGTACCAGACCTCAACCACTCGAATAGCGCCCCAGATTCGCTATGCGAAAGCCTAGACAATGACCAAACCCCTCAAACACTCGCTGTACGCACCCCTTCGCTATTCGAATAAATCTGGCAGTGAACCCAGACCACAACCAAGCGCTCACGCACCAATTCGCTATGCAAAAACATAAGACAGAGAGCCAACTCCTACTACCATTCGCACATCACAACATCTCATTGTGCGAATGCTTTGACAGAGAGCAACCTGCCAGGACTACTCGGTGTGTGAAATTATTCGCTCAGCGAGTCTGCATAATCTGCAGCACAAAATTCTGCAGAATTATGCAACTCAAACCCCATTTACCAATTCTAACTATTTTTCCCAACTTCTAACACTCCAAAATTGTGTTATATACCTAATTAGACTTAACTAAATGTTCCTAAACCTTTCTAACATCAATCTAAAGTTTTTATGGATCAATTCCTACTTCAAAACCTCTAAAATAACCACTTATAGACCCAAAATCAAATCTACCACTTTTAACACACTTTTGACCAGTTTAAGGGTTCAAACAAGTCATATTTGACTTACCAAAGCTACCCCAACAAACCCATTTAGCATCTAACCTCTAATTCTCATTTTCACTAACTCACTTCCTCATAACTACCTTAAACTACTACAATTTGACTCTAACCACAACCAAACAACCTCCTCTGCAGATTTCTAACCTCTTATACGACCAATAACAGATCAAAATCATTCAAATCAGATCATCATATTAGTTTTAAATAATCACAATCCAAAACATCAATTATCATCATAATTATATACCACACAACATCATTTCAATTCTGTTAGAATAATTACTGTTACATATCATCATTAAGGCTAGTCTGCTAGACCAGTAATGATTCGTACCTAGTTTTGTACCTAAAGGTCTAGTGTAGACTCTTGGTGTTCCATGTACTCTTGTGTTTTCAATATATATAGAAGATAATGAGAGGGATCTGTTAAGCCCTCAAGAATATATTTTATCAGTTTTAATCTTAAGTTGGTATCAGAGCAGGTTCATCCTACTCTGGTTTTTGTCCTAGGTTGTCCACCAGCATTGTCATTGCTGTTCGCATCTGTCCGGTGCCCTTTGCCTTTGTCCGCGGTTGTCTTGTCACTATCTGCAGCTGTCAACTGCAGTTTGAAGCTCTTCATACTCAGTAATTTAAAAAGGATTTAAGAATTTCCTAGCTTCCCTTACCTCTATAAAACTGCACAGCTCAAGAATTACACCGACATTTGCTTGCACCACAAAGAAACTCTACAAAAACCTACAACTCACTGATTGGTGATAGGAAACCAACCTTAGAACCTAAATTGAGCTAGAAATTGAAGAGAAAACAACTAGATACATGCAAACAGAAATCGTTGCATGATCACGCTCCAAGAACGTACGGAGAAAGATAGGAAAGAACTTACCGGCTCAAAACAAGAAATTGATCAGTAGAGATTGTCGCCCTCGATGCCAGGATCGTCTAGGTACTCCCTAATCGTCGAACAGATACACTGAGAGTGAGAACAGGTAGAGAGAAGTGAGAGAAAGAGAAGAGAACAGTGTTTTAGAGAGATAGAAGTATTTTAGATAATGAACCGAGTTTTAGAAAGTTCTATTTATATTATAAGGTTATTTTATAATAAAATACTCAGTCTCATTATTTTAATACACCTATCTACTCTAATACTCCATTTTCTAAGTTATTACACATATTCGTTTTATCATGACTTAGTTATAATCTGAACATTTATAAAGTGACTGGATTGCACTGACATTCTGTTCATGTAACATTAATTCAAGAATTAATTCAATCAAGATTTTAGGATGTTCTTTGCTTATTTTCATTCACTGAAATCATCGAAGGACATTGGCGTGTCCTCTGGGCTTGTGTCTGTAATGTTGCATTCATACAATGAAATGCTAGCTAATTGTGTCATACGTCATGATTTGCGCCAGCAATTTGAATTTCTGAGATTCAGAATCGAATTCACTATATTCATTGCAAATTAATTGAAATTTTTACTACTGAGTGCAAAAAAATCAATCCACTTTATGTCCTTTATGTGAGATGATTTCTAGTTACCTACATTTTTTAATTTCCAATGAACCTCTTTGCAGCACTTGTTTTGATGGGCAACTTGCGGTTGAAGCTCCATGATGTGTGCAATGCAGTTGGGAGATATTTTTCAATACATTGTTAAACTCAATTTTTACAACATCAAAAACAACTAAACAATAATTATACACATCCCTTAGCCCATATTTCATGCACGGTCAAGTTTGGTTTTTCTTGTACCAGTTTTTTTTGTGGGTGCGTGTGTGTGTTCACCAGTTTTCCAAATTGCAATCTCTGGCTTCTCCACAAATCCACTTGCAAAATGACCACTTTTCGAAAGGCAAAAGAACAATTTGCCACCTTGTGTTCAAGAGGGCACGTAAGAGAGGCTTTTGAAAGCTTTGTATCAAAGATATGGGCAGAACCCCGTTTGTTCTCAAACCTCCTCCAAGCGTGCATTGGGTTGAAGTCTGTTTCTTTAGGCAAGCAGCTTCACTCTTTGATATTAACTTCTGGTTGTTCCTCAGACAAGTTCATTTCCAACCATCTCCTCAACCTCTACTCAAAATTTGGGGAGCTTAGAGCCGCTGTAGCTTTGTTTGATCGAATGCCCAGAAGGAACATCATGTCATGTAACATCATGATCAAGGCCTATCTTGAAATGGGCAACATCGAGAGTGCAAGGAACCTGTTTGATGAAATGCCTGAGAGAAATATTGCCACGTGGAATGCGATGGTAACGGGTTTGGCCAAGTTTGAAATGAATGAGGAGTCTTTAGTCTTCTTTTCTAGAATGAATGAGTTAGGGTTAATGCCAGATGAGTACTCTTTGGGTAGTGTGCTCAGGGGATGTGCTCATCTAGGAGCTTTGTTTGCTGGCCAACAGGTTCATGCCTATGTTATGAAATGTGGGTTTGAGTTAAATTTGGTTGTTGGATGCTCTTTGGCTCATATGTATATGAAAGCTAGAAGCATGGACGATGGGGAGAGAGTTATCAATTGGATGCCAGATTACAATTTGGTTGCTTGGAATACACTTATGGCTGGAAAAGCTCAAAAGGGATCCTTTGGGGGAGTTCTGGATCAATACTGTATGATGAAAAAGGCTGGTTTTAGACCAGACAAGATTACTTTTGTGAGTGTGATTAGCTCGTGTTCGGAGTTAGCTATCCTTGGTCAAGGGAAGCAAATTCATGCTGAAGCAATCAAAGCAGGAGCTAGTTATGAAGTTTCTGTAGTTAGTTCATTGGTTAGTATGTACTCTAGATGTGGATGTTTGCAAGAGTCTTTCAAATCTTTTCTGGAATGCAAAGAGCGAGATGTTGTGTTATGGAGTTCAATGATCGCTGCTTATGGGTTTCATGGTCAAGGAGAAAAAGCCATCAAACTTTTCAATCAAATGGAACAAGAAAGTATGCCAGTAAACGAGGTCACTTTCTTGAGCTTGCTTTATGCTTGTAGTCATTGTGGAATGAAGGATAAAGGACTTGATTTCTTTGATATGATGGTGAAAAAGTATGGACTCAAGGCTAGACTAGAACATTATACTTGTGTGGTTGACCTACTAGGGAGGTCTGGCCGTTTGGAGGAGGCAGAGGCAATGATACGATCCATGCCTGTAAAAGCAGACGCAGTTATATGGAAGACATTATTATCTGCGTGCAAACTCCACAAGAATGCTGAAATTGGAAGAAGAGTTGCTGCAGAAGTTCTTACGATCGATCCTCAAGATTCAGCTTCATATGTTCTACTTGCCAACATTTATTCTTCAGCTAAGAGATGGCAAAATGTTTCTGAGGTAAGGAGAGCCATGAAAGACAAGATGGTGAAGAAAGAACCAGGCGTAAGTTGGGTAGAAGTGAAGAATCAGGTTCACCAGTTTCATATGGAAGATATCTCTACTCATCTTGGAGACTTTCATAGTTGAACAATAACAAGGCATCGAAAGCATTTTCCGTAAGGGCATCCTTGGGGGAAATGCAACAATAAGGGAGAAGGGGGTTTCTGAAATTATTGCTCGGAAATGAGGGAGTTGGATTACTGTACTCTATGAATTTGAATTACTCTGAAAGAAGGAATTACAGTTGACCGCACATGCTCGTGTGACTGCACAGTTGGATTCATAGAGTTAGTAATGCTTTTGAATTACAGTACTATATGGATTTGAATTACTCTGAAAGAAGGAAGCCGTTACAGTCTGATGTTCACTTTCCTGGTGAGCCATTTTCCTTTAGTTTATCTTCTGAGATTAATTAGTTTCTAATCCCAATTATGACTTTTGTAACACACCAGTTTCGATTCTTAGTAAATAGGTATTCATTTATGCTTCCTTTTTGAGTGCGAAAATCCAATTATTCGGTTCTTGTACATTATTTGATTAATCTGTGATTCATCTTCATTGACATATGTTTTGCATCTTGCATTGATTAGTTGTCAGTAGAATATACATAATTCACGACTGTCATAACCATGAGTGTGTTGTTTGCTGCCAAACGTGGTTCTAATATGTGTTTTTTATTCTTGCATGCATTTCTTGCTATTAGATCACGTCTTTCATTCATTTTCTTCATTTTAGATTTGTTCCAATCATTGCATACACATTCTGCACATTCACTTCATTGAAACATTTTCACAAACAGTTTGGTAAAACCTGTCTTTTATTCATACATTTCGTCAAACAGATTTGGAATTCATTCATATGCATTGTTTTAGGTCATTATATCCTTGAATAGAATTATTGGTGAATGTTGGGTGCAAACGCATTGAAGGTTAACAGGTCATTTATTCTCTGGCACCATTTAATCAATTTTAGTAATTGAGGATCACAAGGACTACTTAATTCAAAATTAGTTCTTGCGTTACTTTCTAATAAATTTTTGCATCATAAAAATTATAAAATCCATACATCAATAAGGGGGACAACTTGTTACATTTGGAACATATAAAGCACCTGATTCTTTTTTTGTATAATTAGCTTTCGCTTAATGGTGCTTTTACTTACTTTTTGGTGATTCTTTTTTTGTGATTCTTTTTTTGTATAATTAGCTTTCGCTTAATGGTGCTTTTACTTACTTTTATTTTTCTTTAGGTAAATATGGTTTTATAAAGCACCTGATACAAGTTTCTTTTCAAAATTATCTCAGCTTAAGGATGATATTGAGTTTAAAATAAGAATGATTTTGTTATTTTCAGTTTTATGAATTATATTCTCCTTTTCTCTATTTGTAGCAATATCTAATCTTCTAAAATAGGAAAATAGGGAAACAATATACTAAAAAATAATCTAGAAGATCATACATCTATTTTCTCTAATTAAGAAGATGCTATAGATATTTTCTCTAATTAAGAAGATATATTTCCTCTAATTACAACACTCCCCCTCAAGTTCGTAAACAAATATCAATCATTCCCAACTTGCCTACAAGATCTTGAAATCTACCCGAAAGGAGTTCTTTTGTAAAAATATCTGCTATATGAAGTTCTCTAGGAACATGAGTTGTAATCACAAAGTTTCTGTCTAGATTATCTTTGATGAAATGTCTGTCAATCTCAATTTGTTTGGTCTTGTCATGTTGTATTGGATTATGGGCTATGTTCATGGCAGACTTATTGTCACAGTGTAGTTGCACAGGGTTATTGTTAGGGTATAAGGTGAGAGGTAATAATAAGGGTTGGAAAGTATATGAGAAGCAGAAGAAAGGTAGGAGGGAAGTGAGGCCGAACGGTATTGACCGTAAAGGCCAAACGGTGGAAGGCATGGAGAGGTTAGGCCGAACGGTGGCAAAAGGGAACGGTTAGGCCGAACGGGGGACAAGACCAGGCCGAACGGTGGACAACGGGGAGTGACCAGGCCGAACGGTAGGAGGCAGGGAGCGACCAGGCCGAACGGTGGGAGGAAGGGAGCGACCAAGCCGAACGGTGGGAGGTAGGGAGCGACTAGGCCGAACGGTGGGAAGCAGGGAAGGAACTGAGCCGAACGGTTGAAGAATCACCATCTTAACTACGCAACAGTTAGGGTGGGCGAGAGCTAATTATAGTAAAAGAAGCCACAATAGGAGAGAATATTCAATATAAGTTAATTAGAGTAAATAAATATATATCCTAGGGAAATTATTCAATATAAGATATTTATAATTAAGGATATATGCTAGGATAATATAGGGGGATATTTATATTAAATGCAGATATATTCTAGGGAAATATTTAGTAAGAGATGGGCATGAAATAATTAGTATAAATAAAGCTAGAGTCTAGGGTTAAGGGCATGCTTTTGATTATTGAGTTTTGTAAAGGAGGTTATGCTCCAAAATAGTTGATAGAGGTTATGCTCCCAATTATTAGAAATAATTGACGGAGGTTATGCTCCCAATTATTGTTTGTTTTCTATTTGATTCAATTATTCTTATCAATAAAAAAGGTTTATTCATTCATCTTCTATTGTTCTTTGTCTGTGAGAGTGTGTGAGAGATTGTTCTAGTTACGTTCCATACTCGGATACGTAGCAATTATCCACCTTGACTTTAAGATCATCCAAAATGATTTTCATCCAGAGTCCTTCACACATTCCTTGAGCAAGAGCTCGAAATTCAGCTTCTGCAGTAGAACGAGATACTTTATCTTGCTTTTTTCTCCTCCACGTTACCGGACTATCTCCAAGAAACAAACAATACCCAAAAGTAGATTTTCTATCAATAATAGAAATTGCATAATCAGCATCAATATATATTTTCATAGTCAATGTGTCTTCCCTTTTGAATAATAGCCCCTTTCCTGGACTTGACTTCAAGTATTGAAGAATTTTGTCAATTGCTTGCATGTGTTTCTCTCTTGGATCATGTATAAATTGGCTTACTACACTAACTGCATAAGCAATGTTTGGTCTTGTGTGTGATAGATAAATCAATTTTCCTACCAATCTCTAACATTGGGCCTTTTCTACAGGAGCACTTTCCTCACTTCCAATTCTGTGATTATGTTTCTGTAAGAACTCTTGAGGTTCTACATCCCAACTTTCCTGTTTTTTTGAGGAGATCAAGTACATATTTCCTTTGGGAGATGAAAATCCCATTCTTGGAGTAAACAACCTTTATTCCAAGAAAATATTTGAGTTTTCCTAGGTCTTTCATTTCAAATTGAGCTACTAATTTGTCTTTTAATGCCAATTTTTCTGTTTCATCATCTCCTGCAATAATATCACCCACATAGGCAAACAATAGAGTGAGTTTACCTGTAGAAGAGCTTTATGAATATAGTATGATCTCCTTGGCTTTGTCTGTATCCCAAGGAAACCATTGCTTTTGTAAATCTTTCAAACCATGTTGTAGGAGATTGCTTAAGACCATACAATGCTTTCTTTAGGAGGCAAACCTTGTTTATTTCATTTTTCACTTCAAAACCTGGGGGAATCTCCATGTACACTTCCTTTTCTAGATTTCCATGAAGAAAGACATTCTTCACATCTAGCTGGTGTAAGTCCCATCAAAGCGAAAACAACTCAAATTGTATTCATCTTTGCCACTAGGGAAAATGTCTCCTCATAGTCAATCCCATAGGTTTGGGTATATCTTTTTGCCACCAATCTAGCTTTATATCTTTCTATTGTCCCATCTGCCTTATGTTTCACTGTGAATATCCATCTACTACACCCTACTGCCTTCTTGTCTCTTGGTTTATCAACAATCTCCCAAGTTGAATTTCTTTCTAATGCATTCATCTCTTCTTTCATGGCTTGATTCCAATGTTCCAGTTTCATGGCCTCCTGGATTAAGGTAGGAATTTCTGTGGTATCAATGGCAACAATTTAGCTTCTGTGTTTATCAGAGAGAGTGTTAGTGCAAACATACTGAGAAATAGGAAATTTAGCACATGATCTTCTTTCTTTTCTCAATGCAATGGGTAAATCCTCAGTAATACTTACCTCCTCACTAATATCCTCAGGGATCCTTACCTCCGGATTAGACAATTTTTCTTGCTCTAGAGTCGAAGTGGGTTGTTTTCTTCATATTTTTTGCCAAAAAAATTGTCTTCTTCCTCTTCTTTCTCACCGTGGACTATGGTAGCTTCATTGCTCAGATCTTAGGCATCCTACAAAGACAAACATGGTAATGACAAGGAGAGTTCATCCACTTCAAGTGCTTTCTCCCCTTGAAGTGATGGACTGACATAAAAGGATTGTGTTTCATGAAAGGGGACATCCATGGTGATAAAAACGTGACGACTTTGAGGATGATAGCATTTGTACCCTTTTTTATTAGAAGGATACCCAATAAAAACACATTTAAGAGCTCTAGAATCTAATTTACTACGATTAGGATGATGAGAGTGAACAAAAGCAACAGATCCAAAGACTCGACTAGGTAGACTCGTTAATAGGGGAGAAGAAGGAAGAAAAGACAATAGAGATTCTATAGGACTAAGGCCATTTAAGATACAAGTGAATAATCTGTTGATGAGATATGTGACAGTTAACACAACTTCTCCTTAGTAATGTTTTGGAACAGACATTTGAAAAAGAAGAGCTCTAATTACTTCAAGAAAATGATGATTCTTTGTTTCTACAACCCCATTTTATTGAGGGGTGTAAAACCTCAAAAATGGTATTTTAGAAGTGATGATAGTTTAAAAATAGTGCGACTCGGTTATTTTAATATTAAATAGTTTAGTTATAAATAGTTTTATTATAAACGAGTTTCACTATTTTAAAACGTACCATCTCTCTAGAAACCACTTTTCTAGAGTTCTCTACCTTCTCTCTTAGTGTTCTTGCTCCTAAGTAATCTGTTTGACGATCAAGAGGTGTCTAGACAATCATGACGTCAATGTCTACAAATCTAGCTGATCAATTTCAAGAATAGAGCAAGTAAGTTTTTACTCCTTTTTCCTCTCCCGTTCCTAATCTGTTTTTAGAAGTATTGTTGCATGCGTAATCAAGCTTCTCCTAGTCATTCTTGGTTCATCTAGAGTTCTAAAGACTCTGTCCGTTTCCAATTTGGTGTCTCATAGGTTCGTCTAGAGATTCCTTGCATTTCAAGCAATCGACGGAACGTTTCTGAGTTGGACAGTTTATTGCAAGGTAAGGGAAGCTAATTTGCTTTTCATAAGTGTAGTAAGATGGGTTAAATCGGTTAGTTTGTGTGTATTGTTTATATAAAAATTGGTGGTGTTAAATTAGGGAAAAGTGTTGAGTGATTGTAAATTTAGGATGTGTTTTGAGAATTTTGATTGTATGATTGTTGTTGTGAGTTATTGCAGGAGGAATTTAATATGTTGTTGAGATAAAATTGTATTAATAATGATGGTTGTGAATATATGAAATTATAGTTCAGATTGTAGCTTGAATTGATGTTATAAGTATGTCAATGTTGGGATAATGAGAACAATGTGAAATCTGCAATCTGGTATTTGTCTTGGAGTGTTTTGTGATTTGTTAGTATCATTAGATGGTCAAATAAAGAAGGTTAAGGAAGGGAGATAAAATGAGTTCAAATCCTACTTGTTTTGGAGTGAAAATTAGGGGTTTTGGTAAGTGAGTTTTTGAATAAGCAGTTGGTTAGGTAAAAGAGAAGTTTGGGGACTGTTTTGAACAATAGTATGTCCAAATCTTTTACCGTATGAACAATAGTTCCCATGAGTACCTTTTTCAAACAAATTTCCCCCAACATTCTCCTTTTCTCTATTTGTAACAATCTAATCTTCTAAAATAGGGAAACAATATACTAAAAAATAATCTAGAGGATCATACATCTATTTTCTCTAATTAGGAAGACTCTATAAATGTTTTCTCTAATTAAGAAGATTCAATAGATATTTCCTCCAATTACAACATATTGCATAGGCCATCTACACTCCAATCATCAAATGCAATTCATTGAATCCAAGGCACAAACATTGCATATTCATGTTCAACTCAGTCATTGGTAAGGAAAGTCCTAGAAGAAAGTTTACAAAAATTGAAGTAAGAAACCACTAGACACAGAAAATCTATTAGATGGGAGCTTGGGGCATGTTGGGTACAACATTTGCAAAATCAAGCTACTGGGAAAACTGAGCCAAAAAAGACAGAAGAGGGTAAGATTGAGCCAGCTGTTAAAGGTATTGGGAGGCAAGGTGGATTACTAAAGGAATTAAAGAAAAAAATTGATAACAAAAACTCCAAAGTTGAAGTAGGAAAGGATATTTCCCCATCTAATAATGGCAATGTCATAAACAAGCAAGAAACCACGAAACAGGAATTAGAGAGACAAGAGGAAAAAAAGGAAACTATATGGAGAAAGCTACTTTCTGATGCTGCATTTACACGTCTTAAAGAATCTAAAACTGATCTTCATCTGAAGGTTCATCTGTGCTTTTTGACTTAAATGATGCTTTATTTTTCTGACGCTGTAACTGGAATGTTATTCTCAATAGGAATATGTCAATTTTATGATTTCTAGCCAGCAATGTGCTTATTAATCTATGTACTCATATTTATTAAATATATTTTGATTTGATATCTTCTCCATTTTCCCAGTCACCTGATGAATTGATGGACATGGCACATAAATATTATGTTGATACTGCACTTCCAAAGCTGGTGAGTTTCCTAACATTGAACTTATTTGTNTTGGGAGGCAAGGTGGATTACTAAAGGAATTAAAGAAAAAAATTGATAACAAAAACTCCAAAGTTGAAGTAGGAAAGGATATTTCCCCATCTAATAATGGCAATGTCATAAACAAGCAAGAAACCACGAAACAGGAATTAGAGAGACAAGAGGAAAAAAAGGAAACTATATGGAGAAAGCTACTTTCTGATGCTGCATTTACACGTCTTAAAGAATCTAAAACTGATCTTCATCTGAAGGTTCATCTGTGCTTTTTGACTTAAATGATGCTTTATTTTTCTGACGCTGTAACTGGAATGTTATTCTCAATAGGAATATGTCAATTTTATGATTTCTAGCCAGCAATGTGCTTATTAATCTATGTACTCATATTTATTAAATATATTTTGATTTGATATCTTCTCCATTTTCCCAGTCACCTGATGAATTGATGGACATGGCACATAAATATTATGTTGATACTGCACTTCCAAAGCTGGTGAGTTTCCTAACATTGAACTTATTTGTATTTAAACTGAGTTATTTTGGAATGTGTTTATTTTAGTGATTGTTACTTCAAATTCATAGGTGGCAGATTTTGCGTCCCTTGAACTCTCACCTGTTGATGGAAGGACGTTGACTGATTTCATGCTACAAATGCACCTGCACATTGATTTCCAATAAGAAAACCATGTTATTGATTCCTTACCCATTCCCTAGGATACTAAAGAACTTTTTATTTTTTAATTATATATTTTTTTCTGCAGCATTAGGTTCATAAATTAAGTAGGGGTTTTCACAGGTCTGTTTGGACCAAATTTAGTTGAAAGTAAAATCTTAACCAATTAATTTTAATTGGTTTGAATTGTTTTAAATTTTTCGAAAAAAACAAATTCAAAATCAAAATCTAATGATAGTCTCGATTTGGTTCAGCCTATTGGATCCAATAATATATAAGTATACAAAATTTTGTTTACCAATAATTCTATGATTAACCTTGAATAGTTTTGTAAGCAAAGTGTTATAGGTCACTATATCCGGGTAACAACCCCTTGACATCATTATTTCCAAATACTCAATTGCTCTATCCATCTTTTTTCTCTTGACAAAACCCATGAAGCAATGGATTGTAACTCAAGGATAACACTCCCTCTGCAGCTGCCTGTTGAGAACCTCCATTGCCTCCTTCAATTTCCCACTGCTACACAAACTACGCAAAATGGTGTTATATGTAACAACATCAGGAGCAACACTCATTCTTTCCAAAACCGGCAGGTCTTTATCTATATCTCCTGATTTGCAAATTTTTTTAGTGTTTATTGTTTTCTTAATTATTCTCCATTACTTCTCTTTGGCTCTACAGGAAAGACTTATTATGAATTTTTGTTAGGTCATGGAGGCAATGACAGTTTGATACTTGATCAGTTAAGGATTTTGAGATTATAGTGGAGTATCCATTTATAGAGGAAATTGCAGCCTGTATTTACTTTCACAAGCAAAATGCCAGCGCGAAGATTTTAGAAACTTGTACAAAACTAGGCATAAATTATTATGTATTAGAAAGGTATTTAATTTCATTCCTTTCTTCTGGGTTTTGAGTGCAAATTCAGAGTTGTCCAGCAAAGATAATGAAGTAGATTCTATTGCTCAGTATGATTACTTTGTCCGGATAACTTTCTATTTTGTTGAAAAATCTGGTTATTTGTGGTTCAAACTCATAAAACTTGTAGAGTTACCATCTTATCCACGAATTGTTTTACTTTCACGTTCCATGTTATACTGATTATTATTTCAGTTATAAATCACATTTTTTTTCTTTTTCTATAATGTATGAAACATTGTAAAGATTGTGGCTTTTTATTATTTGTTTGCTTGTAAATATTGTTGCTTTTTATTATTTATTTGCTGGCTTTATTATTTATTATAGGCTTGCATTAGCAAATACTCCAAAAAAAACTTGGTGGAGTTCACAAATACTATTGGAAGTACTTACTAAACAGTAAAAGCATAAGAAACTTCAATAAACTCGGAATCCAACATATGTTGGTTTGAAAGTTGAAACTGAAACAAGATGATGTCTAATGATTTTGTTTAGGTTATAGTCCATGTTTTTCAATTAGTTGAGTTGCTTTCGACCATATCATATTTTTAATCAATCTTGCAATGTTTTTTTAAACATTATGTAATTTAATTTTATATTTATATTATACTTTATCTTAAATCATTTATAAAAGTATTTTTATATATATATATTACAATTTTATTTATTTTTTATTATAAAAAAATATTTTATTAAATTACGAAATTATTAGTGCAGGTGAGTAATTATAAATAAAGAAGGTTTCAGATAATAATATTATAGAAAAGGTTAACACTTTCTACAAACATTCTTCTATAATATAATTTTGATATTAGAAGTTATGAAAAACTTTCAAATCGACTACACTAACTGTGGGGTATAAAAAACTTTTGGAAATCAATTTGCAGAGGTTTGCAATAAAAGACTCCACTAAATAATATTCTTTTTTGCAGTGAATGTTGACTTTGCACATTAGAGTGCCCAAGAAGATTTAGGTTCTCTTCTGGCTAACCTGATTGGGAATCTAGCCTTTCCTTTGATCTTGATTAGAGGTTTGTTCCTTCTCTTAAGACGATAAAGAGGAATGGGAGGTCCTGGTGGACCATGATTTCCTCTTACTTTTGGCCAATCTAAAGCCAAGTTTCAAATGGAACCAAACACTGGAGTGACATTTGATGATGTTGTTGGGGTGGATGAAGCCAATCATGACTTTATAGAGGTGGTGGAGTTTCTGAAGAAGCTTGAGAGGTTCACTGCTGTCGCATACTTAAAGGAGTTTTTCTTGTTGGTCCTCTAGGAATTGGGAAGACCCTGTTGGCCAAGGCTATTGCTGGTGAAGCTGGTGTTCCATTATTTTCAATATCTGGTTCTGAGTTTGTTGAGATGTTTGTTGGTGTTGGTGCTTTTCGAGTTTGTGATTTGTTCAAAAAGGCCAAAGACAACGCCCCTTTCATTGTCTTCGTTGATTAAATTCATGCTGTTGGAAGACAAAGAGGAACTGGAATTGGTGGAGGGAATGATGAAAGAGAGCAGACCCTCAACCAACTTTTGACATAAATGGATGGTTTTGAGGGTAATATTGGCATCATTGTCATTGCAGCAATTAAAAGGGTAAACATTCTTGAGTTTTCCTTATTGAGACCAGGACGGTTTGATAGGGACTATATTATGAAATGCTTACTTTTTGTTAAAGAGTAAATTATAGAACAAAAATGCTTTTTGTGCACTCCCAATTTGGTTTCAGCACCTAAAAAAAAAAAAAGGAAGCATTATGTATAGAACTTAAGTTTATATTTTGAAGATTGACTATAAGTTATCTCTTACATGAGAGAATGATCAATAGAGTGGGAGTAGACGAAAAACTCATCCAAGAAGATGAAGTTGACGATGAAGTTGACATTGTAAGTGATGTAGTGGACTATTATCAACTACTATTATCAACTTATATACGGAAAAATCCGTATGTAACTTATATACGGAAAAATCCGTATGTAACTTATATACGGATTATTTTGTATGTAACTTACATAGAGATTTTTTCGTATGTAATTTACATATGGAGTTTTCTGTTGTAACTTACTTACGATCCTTTTATATATGGATTTTTGTTTGTATATAATCTGTATGTAACATCATTTTATATACGGATTTTGAAGGTTACATACGAATTTTGGCCGTATGTAACTGTGATTTTAGTTAATGTTGGTATTGCTTTATGTCCAATGTTAATTAACGTCAATTAACGTGGAGTTTTTTTAATCTGACGTTAATTTAATCTCTCTTGGTATGACATTGGTATTTTCTTAGAAGTTAAAGGCCAAAAAACACAGAAGTCAAAACCTTTTTGCAAACGTTTACTTAAATGTTTGCAATATATGAGACGTTAATCATGTCTATTAAACACTGTTTACTTCAAAGTGCTATATTTATAAAAACATTGTGAATGATTATTTCGTTCAACACTTTGGATAGATAATTATATTGATAAACACTTTATTCAGTATTATTCCTTAGCAAATATAATTTGTTAGACACTTCATTCTATAAACAATATCTTATTATGTATTGTATGTTAAACTTTAAAACATGTGTTGCTAGAGAGTCTAGTCTCTCTAGACGATCTTGTCTTAACAAATCTTATCCATAAAATAATTTTTTTTGTAACACAATTTCATAACATTTATAAAAAGTTATTGTGTATATAAATTTTTACATATTCAAAATGAAGAATGATAAATTTAATTGAGTTTAGTTTTTAAACTATAAATAGAAAAGAAAAATAGTTTCTTCCTTCATTTAACTTGTTTCACTGTTTCTATAAGTTGTTTCCACTTCTTTAGAAATTTTGAGTTTTTGTATTCTCCTTTGTGTTTCTTGAGTCAGGAACTGGCTTAGAACAAACAGAGATCAACTCGTTCGAACTTTGTTTAAGGTAAGTTTTTCTTTTTTTGGCTTAATTTTCAATTTTTTTTCTTCTTCTTTGCTTTCATGTGTGGTTTGATGGGAGGAAATGTGATTGTATACGAATACGAGGATGTTGTAACGTGTGTGTTTGTTTTGATTGCTTGAAAGTTATTTAGAGGAGCCTTGAATATCTATCATATAAGTTTACGTATATTAGAAATAAAAACACGTGTATATAAGGAAAGCTAATTATATTTATAAGTTTTTATTTGGTTAAATTTAATTAAGTTAGTAAATTCAGTAAAAGTATTGCATCTATTGAATATATACGTAGACTTTTAGTTTTTTTTTCTCATCCTTATAAATATAAGTCTTTTAAATGTTTTAATTTCTTTTTATATATTAATGAGTTGTTTCTCAATTTTTTAATTTAATTTTTTCCGTCTAGATAGTAAGTAAATATGTGAAATTGATTTCTTTTTACCTTCTCCTAATATAGTTATAAAGTTACATGTTGTTTCACATCTCTCTTTGATATAAGGTTAAACCCCTTTAGTTGTTCCTATTTTTGTGCGTTCTTTCCAGTTCAATCACCGTTTTATTAGAATTTCTAATTTATTCCTAAAAAGTGCTAATTTGAATCAATTGGACCCTTGCCATTAAATTGGATTAACGAGGTTAAGTTTTTGATGAGGTGAGAGATTGACGTGACAAGTTTTTTAAATGTGGCATGCTGAAACCTTTATATGTGACATTTCTTAAAAGATTAGATTTTAATAATAGGGTTTTTGAAATGAGATTTAATAATAGAATTTTCGGTAAGTCGATTTTGCCCTCGTGGCATGCTGAAACCTTTATATGTGACATTTCTTAAAAGATTAGATTTTAATAATAGGGTTTTTGAAATAAGATTTAATAATAGAATTTTCGGTAAGTCGATTTTGCCCTCGCCAGTGCTTCTTCTTCCAGTGAATCACCACTTCCAACGGATCCTCCATGCGCCAATCATATCGCGGCCTGGTGCGATCTGGTGAAGACCCCTACTTAGAAACGCCATAGTCAGGAACTTCACCAGAGAGGCGCAACCTCAACCTGACGACGTCATTTTCTGGGACGAGGAGTTTCCACGCTCTGCACCCTCTCTGCCTACAAAGACAGTGCCTTTCACCCTTGGGAAATCGTTATCTCTCTCTTCAATGTCTGTCTCTCTTTCTCTCACTCCCTCTCTATTTAGTGTTTTTTTCTCTGCTGTAATTTTAGAATTTTAGATTAATTTTGTTTTGGGTTTTTTTTTTCATATCTCGTAAATTGATTGGAAGGACGCGTCACTGATTTGCTCATTATAGAGAGAAGTCTCTGTTGAGGATTGCGAAGGGATTTAACTATATAGAATCTATGGCAAGAAAGACCAAAAGGAAACATGAACATTACTGTTAATGGTGAAGAAGGATTCAAACTGGAACAAGACTCTCAGAATAGGTAAAGGGAACATAGAAAAACTCGTCTCTATGAGATGAGAGTTTCTTGAGTTGCTTACTGAGAGGATTGAAGAGAGCCAAAACAGTTTCAACTATTGTCAAATCATTCTCCTATCCAGACAACTCTTCCCGGCACACAATTTCATCTCCCCAAACGCTTAAAGGATACATAATCCTCAAAAATGGCCCCACAGTGTACATCTTCACCCAACTCTCCCAAGAAACATCGCATGTATTATTATGATAATGACCATGAATGACCAAAGTAAACAAATCCCTTTCGATGTCAAATGAAACCACAAATTCAGAATCGGTGTTAAAAGTAGAAGTCATGGTGGCAAGCCAAAATATAGTTCCAGTGATGGCCACAAAACTAGAGACAATACACAAAGGTTGCAACTTGGCGGCGTCGATTTCCCTCCAGGAGCCGGAGGCTAACGAATAGACCTCGACCCGATCAACCCTAACGTTGTCGAGAACGACCACTTGGTCGTCCCGGGCGAAGACGCACATGGAGATTCAGACAATCTTGTAATCGTCGGCAAAGGGGTTGAACCCGAATCTGACATAGTTGAAGGACAAAATGTTTGCGACGGGAACCTGTTTGATTTGACAAGTGGCCATGTTGAGGATGGATATGGCAGTGTTGTGGCTGAGGCAGAGGAGGCT